ACCTTTCTTTAGGCACACTAAGCAATGAGAACTGTGGCATAGTCATTCTAATTATGGATCTCGCAGCATTTCGTCTGTCGATATCCACGAGTTCGTGCCTCAATCGCATCTGGCAGGAAGGCTCCAGCTCCGTAAGCCTCCACGGCATCGACCTTGGCTTCTTTAGATTGGTGTGAAAACGCAGGCGAGAGGAGCTTAGGGTTTGGGGGTGTGGCATTTGCGGGGTTGAGGTTCAGGGTTTAAGTTTTGATTTTCGGATTCGCGTGTGTTAAGAACTTCTAAGCCTTCACGGCCTAGAACGAAGACAAAGCTTCTGGAGACCTTACCTCCCCGCACGCAGGCTGTTTATGGCTTAGGGTTCCGGGATGAAGGTTGCTTTAAGAAACACCGAGAGCAGCGCATCCGGCGGCGCAATGCTGGCGTTGCGGATCGCCTGTGTCTTGCTTGCTGCACGGAGCTCTTGAGCACTTCATTCACTCCACCCTCTAGCCTTGAGACCCATGAAACCCTTCATCAACCGGAAGCATACTCAAGAAAGCTGCAAAGCCAAACTTGTCTGATTTCTGACGATCTGTTACTACCAATTCCGTTATTACTACCAATCCTGCTACTACCATCCCGCGCTGTTACTACCAATCCCGCGCTGTTACTGAGAAGGTTGGATTTCTGACTTGGGTGAGACAAGCACCCGGTGCCTCCGCAACGACCTCCTGCTCTGCCGGGCCTGGGAGGGCAGTTCAGCGCGCTTCCGTGCCGTTCGATATGAAAAGGACTGAAGGAAATACGGTTCGGGGTTTAAGGTTCCGAGTCAAGGAATTCGGGGTGGGGCTGAGAGAGATCTGGCTTAAAAAAATGAGGCTCGGGGTTGGTAAGAGCTGGATCATGAAGAGTGGGGTGCCAAAGTGTCGTCGTCAGTGATGGCTCCTTCATCTCGGGATTCTTGGTAGCGCAGCCCTGAACCCTAAACCCCTGAGACCTCCGCGTTTAGGACTTCAGGCTTCGCAGTCGCTTCCCACGACTTTTTCGCATGGGGCCGAAGTTTCAGCAGAAGGCATTTCCCCTTCAGCCGCTGAGCCTCACAATCCGACGGGCTAAACTTGCTACAGGCGCTGAAATAGTTACCCATACTAATCTGGGGCTCCTTACTGTAGTTATAGTATAGCATAACCAACAGCCCTATTCTCCTGCTGAGTTCCCTCGTCCAACGAAAGGTCAACCTGTGCAGCTGTGGTAGGACAAGCGATACAGGTAGGGTGCCGAGCTAGTGCGGAAACGACGCTTCCTTGGGAGAAGGACATCGCGCACCCTGCGAGACTGACATCACATTTTTAGATCCTTCTTAAAGTACTTGCAAACCCTGTTTAAGGATAGCCTCTTCTAAACATTGGCTCGATGTTGTCACACTCATTTAAAAGACGAGTCTGGGAGAAGCATCCCCGAGTGCCAAGCCATGAGGCGCCGAAAGGCTGGCGCCTTTGCCTTGCCCGAAGAGCATTGAAGATCTATGTGTGTGCAGGGGATGAGGGTTTAGGGTTTAGGGGTTTAGGGGCTTAGGGGTTTAAGGTCTATTTGGATGCAGGGTTTAGGGTTTAGGTTGAGGGTTTAAAGGTTTGGGGGTCTATTAGGGTTTAGGGTTTAGGGGATTAAGGTTTAGGGTTTAAGGGTTTGGGGGTTTGGGGGTTTGGGGGTTTGGGGGTTTAGGGGTTTAGGGGTTTAGGGGTTTAGGGGTTTAGGGGTTTAGGGGTTTAGGGTTCAGGGTTCAGGGGTTAAGGTTTCGGTATTAGGGGTTTGTGGGTTTAGGGTTTAGAGGGCTAGGGCTTCGGTCTTTTGGAGCTGTGGTTTTTGGGCTCTGCACCGACCCTGCGCCACCGCCCAGATACCAAGATTCCATCTCCACTTCCTACTATTTGCTTAAGAACCACCCAAAAAATAAAAATTAATAATCCCTATATTATCCCTATGAGGAACATATTTTTTAATTTTTTGGTGGTTCTTAAGCAAATAGTAGCTTCTGCTTGTCATGTCCTATTCCCCTGGCCCGACGAACTCCTAAACCCTTCTAGAAGGCTCATGGGACTTAGTAAGTAAGGGCTTAGGGTTCCCTTTAAGGGTACTGTACGGGTTCTACAAGAGTGGTTTAGGGTTGAGGGTCTACTTGAAGGCTCATGGGACTTACCAAGTAACGTTGTACATAGGTTAGAAGTAGGATGGTCCCGCTCCTGGGACTTATAACCCCAGATAGAACCAAGTTACTAAGTCCCATGATCCTTTAAGTAAACCCCTAAACAGGAAGAACTCCTAAACCCTACCCTCAACCCGAAGAACCTTAAGAACCCTAAACCCTAAAACCGTGAAACCCTAAACCCTAAAACCCTAAAATCCTAATCCCAAAACCCTAGAACCCTACAACCCTAAAAACCCCAGAACTCTAAAACCCTACAACCCTGAACCCCTAAGACACTAAAACCCTAAAGCCTAGAACCCTAAAATTCTAGCACCCTAAACTCCTAAACAAAGGCCCCCGAAGAGGAACTGAGAAGCTGGCCATTGTTGTTCATCATGGCGCCGGCAATGGAGCCCAAAGGCTCTTCCTTCGGAGTACTTAAAGGCTCGTGGGACTTAGTAATTAAGGGGGGTGCCTTTAAAGGGTATAATGGGGTTCTATAGTAGGGCTCCCTTTAAGGGTTTAGGGGTTTAGGGTCTACTTAAAGGCTCTTCCTTCGGAGTACTTAAGCCTCGTGGGACTTAGTAATTCGGGTTCCTCAAAGGGCTCCTTTAAGGGATCCATTAGGGTTTAAAAAAGGGGTTTAGGGTTAAGGGTTTAGGGTTCTGTACTCAGGGTTTAGGGTTTAGGGTCTACTTAAATTCTATGGGACTAGTAAATAAGGTTATAAGTAGGTTGTAGTTAGGATAACCCGACTTAGGGGACTTATAACTTTTAACCCCACTTATAACCACTTACTAAGTCCCATGATCCTCTAAGTATGGGTAGTTCTCGTACCCTTCTGGAGCCCTTTTAGGGGAACCCTCACTTTGGAACCCTGTACCAAGAATCAAGGCCCTATGTGGGTAGTCGGGTAGTTCTCTAAGTTCGGGTCCCTTTTGGGGTCCTTTTGTGAAAGGGTGCCGTACTCTTTCGGGGACCGAAAAAGGGATCCTAATTTCGAGAACCACCCAGATGCTGTATTGGTTCCGACGAACTTGGTTTTCGGTTGCGCGGCTGGAAGCTTCGAGGACGCCAGAGCTTCAAGGTTTGGGGTTGAGGGCTTTTAGTTTTTAGGTTCAGAGCTTGGAGTTTGGGGCTTCATGTTTTCGGGATTCGGTGGCTAGGGGTTTCGGCCGTTGATTGTAAGTTGGGCGGCTCCCAACTTCTTGCAAGGAAGGCACATTGGAAGCATGTTTGACAGTCATCCGGGAAACCCACGTCAATTGGAGACAGGAAAAGCTGAGATTTGCAACAGGCCTCTCCCTTGGTTTTTGCAGAAGGTCGGGCTTCGAAAGATGTCCGACAGTCTGGACTGCCTTTATCCTCGTCAAGTGGACCTTTGAAACAGAAACGAGCTCCAAACCAGCGACCGAATCCACACTTCCGAAACTCAATCGAATCTTCAAGCACTGTCCTCGCTGGTCACGTACTTGCCATCCACTAGTTGGCTGTGTGCCTGTTCGGGCTGCCGCATCATACGGTTGACGATATAAATCCTGCATTACCTTGAGGACCCTAAGCTATGGGGAGTATGGTATATTCCTTATTATGGGTAATGCAGGATTTATATCATCAAACCGTATTGGGGCTTTGGTCGAAGGGAGTCTGAGCTGCAGTTTGAGGGGTCGGGCTTTCAGGGCTGTTGACTCAGAGACTCCAATACCCCTTAATTCAGGAATATTCCTTAAATCATACTACGGATCCTACTATAAGTTAAGGTGTATTCTTTAACTAAGGGGTAGTGGAGTTTCAGGGGACTCATGCCTTGTTGAGAATCACGGATTCAGCTGTGACTTCGGCGCCTGGTCTTGGGTCAGTGGCTTTTAAGAAAGACTCCGTTCTCTCACATTCTCTGTCTGTGCGACTGGACTCTGAGGGACTCATCTCCCCAGCTTCGACAACAACCTCCAAGAAGACAATTGAAACCCGTTGAAAGGCCGGCGCAGTTTCGGCCCTGCCGAAGCTGGGTCTAGGAATTTGGGGGTCTGGCAGAATTGGATTCAAGATTTCGGGTTTGGAGGATCCAAAACCCTGAAAATGTAGTGAAACACAGCGTGAGGCAGCTGAGCTGACGCCTTTGCAACATTACAAACACATCTGTGCATTTTGTGCAGAATACTCAAGCGATTTCGACCTTGAGGGCGACAGCCGCCACACCATCGCCGCGGACGTAGCCACTCTGGGACGAAGGTTGGAGGGTGGTTTGAACAGTGGGGCCGGGGCATTCGACCTGATTTAACGGGTTCTTCAAGATCGTGGCTGCGAGATGCAAGACACAACGAACTGCGGAGCTATAGCTCCGGAGTGGAAGGACGACCGATCTTCGAGATCCTTCAGGTTCAATCCTGTTGCAATGCGGTTAGACAACCTGCAAGAAACCTGAAGCTAACAAACTTCCAAAAGGTTGTACAGGCACCACACAACTCCTTGATGATGGCTGCGGCTTGAGACCCTGTAATGTTATCCTGTTTTACAGTTTTACAGTTTTACATGACACTAACCCACGACACAGACTGAACTTCTCACATACATGACAACCTACCAGGAACACCGATACTGCTATTGGAGTTGCCCTCCTGCTGCTGCTACGGCTTCTGCTGCTGGTGCACGACCACACGACTACTAGCACCAGCAGCAGCAGCAGCAGCAGCAGCTCTTGCTTCGACTGACAGCACCACCTTCCGTGTCTGTATCACTGCCACTAGCTAGCTCAACTATCATGATAATCCATCCTTGCCTTGATTGCTTTGATGCCTGGGGTTCTCCTCCTTTGGAAACCGCCAGACATCTGAAATTATCCTTCCGAGGTCCGTGCCGCAGAGGCATCAAAGGTCAGGCAGCGGCCGGTGGCACACAGCCAGCCTAATTCGGCACCAGCTTAGGGTACAGCATTTAAAGCGTTTTATCTTATATGGTTTAGGATTCAGGGTTTTGGGCTATAAAGTAGAGCTTTTAGGGTCGGGTTTTATCTGAAAGGGCTTAGGGATGGCAGATTCGAAAAGGAACGCAGATTGCGCGTGTCTGAAGAAGATCTTCCAAGATGCTGGTTTCGGGTTTAGGAAATCTGCATGAAAGCATTAGCAAAGCAGATGACGCCGAAAACTGCCTTTTCGATGCTGAACATTCTATTTCAATGATTTATTGAAGGTCCCCTGGCGCTGCACAGATCAAACTTCACCCGAATTCCTAATAATCTACTTCATTGCTATGCAGCCCTCGACCCCCTTTAGAAGACGCGTGCCATCCCCTGCACAACCCACAATCGTAAACACAACATCTTTAGCCGCCATCAGCCCTGCCCAAAAAAAGCCTCGAAATGATGTACCAAAACGAACGAGACCGAAAATGTTGACCCGAGGCCCCCCAGCTGAAACCCGAAGCTCGGAATTCGAACCCATATGGGAGTTTCCGAAAATTAGGGGTACCTTATTCTGGGGTCCCTATAATAAGGTACTATTTGGGGAACTATATTACGGTCCCTATCTCCGGAAACCCCCATATTTTAATAAAGAGTTGAAGCCCGAATTTCAAGGGGGCGATCGTCTCAGCTCCACGCCCGAGGCACAGTGAGATGGCCACCAAATCTCGGCCGAAGGGTTTGCACTGCTCGGGTCTTCGAATCCGGGATTCGCTGCTGGCTAGTTAGACATAGTACCCTTTGCGAAAGGTCCATGCCTTTGCATCACATTTCTATACCCACAAGATGGATGCTCATGCGAGATCGTGGGGATATTCCAGTGCAGATGCTGCATATCGCGAAATCTTGAAGCCACATGTGTTTGTAGTTTCTGAATGATGGGAACTGAGCAACCGACTCCTGCTAGCAAGAGATGCGCGGCGATGGCCACCGAGAACTCATTGGGCGTCGCGCGGCCTGACCAGATGCCATCTCCTACACTTTGAAACCCGAGCCCGGTCAGGGTTCAACTCATCATGTTCGAGGGTGTGAGCTTTTTTGGTACTTTGCTTCCGAGGGCTTCGGGCTTAGGATGAAGGGTGTGGGATTCAGGCTTCAGGGCTTCGTCAAGTTAGGGGTTAGGGCTTCCCTCCACCCGACGGATTAAGCCCTCACTCTACGAAGGCAGGCACCCCTCAAGCAAACTTCTCGGGACGGCTGGGTATTTAGGAAACCTTAAACCACAAACTCTACCTTAAGCTCTGAACCCTAATCCTTCAACCTTCAGCCCTACCCCAGGTCACTCTGGCCCCAAGAAGGCTGCAAGTGAATTTCTGGTAGGACACCGACGGTTACTTACTGCCCTAAACCCTAAACCCTAAACCCTAAAACATCCCTGAACCACAACCCGGAAGTTGAAGTACACTGCATTCGCTGGAACGCCTTTGCGCTGGACGGCCTCTGCACCGAGATACACGCACGTCGCCTGAGTTTCGGAGCGTTCAGGAGTGGACTTCGTTGCTTCAGGGTTTATGGTTTGGGACAGAAGGTTTAGATGTTGTAGCAAAAAACTTACCTTTTCAAGGAGTCATACATAAACACCACAACAAGTAACCCTTACTTAGAGGGTCAGGGACTTATAAGTCTACTTGTTATCTATTTACTAAATTCCCCGACCCTTCAAGTAAGGAATTAAGTATAGAAACCCCAATACTGAGATCTGTGCTGGGTCTCCCGGGACACGGTTTTGAAACTTTGGGAATCTCCAGCGTGCAGGAGACATGCTCTAGGGAAGCAGCGTTGAATTTAGACCCAAGTAAAAAGCCGGAAAGCCTAAAGCGCCAAACCCTCTGATACAGCCCATGCAAAACAAGAAAAAGGCTCCCAAACAAGCTTCGAGCCCCAATCTCGAATTGTACTTTGTGCGCATGAAGCCCAAAATCTGTGCAAAGCACCCTCGCCGGCTTCACAGCACAGACACGGAATGCTAGAATCGTCGCTTGACAAACCAAGTTGAACAAGAGTCAAGTCCTGGATGTTGAGACCTTGAAAAAACGGTCACTCCTAAACCCCAAACCCTAAAAACTCTAAACCCCAGTAACCAGATTGTACAATTTACAACCATGACCAGGCTCCCGACTCCAGAGGAGGCGTCGGTATCTATGGTCATACCTGCGCAGCAAGACAGCTCAACCAATGCAGTTGATATATGGGCCTTTCAGGGTCTAGCGTTTAGGCTTTACAAGATACGAGTAGGGCTTTGGAATGTAGTGTACGAGAATCCAATGATATAACAAAGGGGTCAAAATGGCACTTCCGTGCCAAGTGCTCAGACCTCCAGAGTAATGACGTGCTTAACAAGAGCTCGGAAATGGGTTCCGGGTTTAGGGTTCAGGGCGTTTCAAGGTAATACTTGGGCCTTGTTCAACAAAAATAGGGCTCGGTATACAATACTGTAGTATACTTTTATTATGGAACTCTCAACCCTCAACCCGAAACTCTGAGCCCTAAACCCTGGACCGTACTGTTCAGCCGTCCATGGTATGGGGTCCAGATTCACAACGCATCCATGTTATCCTGAGGGTCTTCCAGGTGTCCAAACCCCACAGATTACTCTTCAACTACGAAATCCTGCACTACCCACAATGAGGAATGTGCCATAATTCCCATAGTCTAGCGCCATGAAAGTAATGCAGGATTTATAGCATCAACCGTACGAAATCCTGCGAGCGGACTACGGGTCGATTAGTTGGGGCCTTGTATACGATGCTGGTATCTTCTGCTTCAGCATTCCGTAGTAGGGCTGGCTTCGGGTATCGGGTTTAGAGTTTAGACTACATGACATGATGTGAATATCTTATGCTTCAGAATTCCATAGTAGAGTCCCTTTTCTTGTGAACTCCCATCTGAAACTGGCATTCTAAGACATGTGTTCCTGTTTGGGAACTGCACTGCAGCTGTGTGATCTGAGGCCTGAAGAGAAGAAAGAGCCGGGTGCGACTAACCCGGCCGAAAAACAGTTTAGGGTTTAGCGTTTGGGAGCCGTTCCCTGCCGAAAAGCCACAAAACGCCTCCAAAATCCAGATTTGCAGGTCGCAGCTGCTACTATATTCTTGTTTGATGCTGTCTGCGAGTATGACTCCTCAAATGGCGGCGATAGCAACACCGTACCCTACACCCCAAACCCTGAGATGCCCTGAAATGGGCCAAGGGGCTCGGTCCCTTCAGTCCGAGAGTGAAGGAAAATCGCCTTGGCACCAAACATGCGGCTTCTTAGCAGGGCCTATAAGGGCTACTTAAAGGATCATAGGGTTCCTTTAAAGGGCTCCTTTTTAAGCGATCTATAAGTCTATAAGGGTTCTAGAAGGGGGAGTTTAGGGAACTTAAAGGATCATGGGACTGAGCAAGTAGGTTATACTTGGGTTATAAGTCCCCTAAGTGGGGCCATCCTAGTGATATCCTACTCAGAACCTTGCTTACTAAGTCCAACGAGCCTTTTAGTAAGGTTTTTTTGAGCTCCTTTTTCCAGGGGGCGACAGTTTGCTGCATCCTAGAAGGCCAGTAGGCCAGGAGCCTTTTAGTAGGGTTTAGGCTTCAGGCTTTGCAGTCAGAAGGGAACCACAAATCCGCGGGACGCAGGTTGAAGGCTCTGGTGGAAAAGTTCAGATGTTCGCCCCGTTTGGGCAAGTTGAAAGGTTCAAAACTGTAACCCAAAGCATTCAGCCCTAAACTCTAAACCCCTCTAGAGCTGGAAGCTCCCCTCTCCTAATGGCCGCTGCCATCAAGTCCGAAGACAAGATAAATCCTGCTATCGGCCCGGAGCTTGCCACCAACACCCCCAAGCCTCGAAACCCATGCGACCCTAAACCCTTAAGACTTGTTTTTACTACCTTAGCTTGCAGCAAAAGCGCTAAAGACCTGAAGCCCTAAACCCGAAACACAAGCATTGCTTAAGCCCCGAAGCCCTAAAGCACAGAACTCCCTAAGTCCCGAAGCACGAAAGGCCTCCGCCGCAGGATACCGGAGGTCTCAGGGAAGTTCTGATGGGAGGCTAAAAGGTGGGTTTAAGATTCTTGGGGTAGGGACTCCTTAATATGAACCCAATTATGGGAACCCTAATCCCTACTAAACCCCCATGGGCTAAAACCCTTTTTGGCTTCCTATGAAGTTCCCTTGGGCACGCACCCAGAGCTGATCGATAGGGCACCGCCTGTAGCGGCAAAGGCGCCCTGGTCCTGCGATCTTTGCTTCGCTTACGAAGGTACATAGGGTTTGTGTGGTTTTAGAGTGTTGTAACGCTTTCTTTAACTACAGTTTGATATGAGGCCATGCTGGGGGTCACTTTGTGGTATAGGACCTTCGGCGGTTTTGTAACACCGAGTGAAGCTTTCCGTGCATTTTTCATGCGACATGGAGTCAATGGAGTTTTTGTTCGGGGTGTTTTCAAGGCTTCTCTTTGTGCTAGGACCCCTTCAGAGCTGCGAAACTTTGGTGGCTTGTAGTTTGTAGCTTGGGGTGTGGATTGAGGGTGTGGGCTCTACGAGTTTAGAGCTTTCGCCTTTCTGGGAGTCACCGGGTTTAGTGCTTATCTTGACCCTAAGGAACCTACGTTTTTAGGGTTCCCTAATATGATTTCTTTATATAAGTCCTTAAAGAGGTAGGTTCCTTAGGGTCCAGGTAGGGTTCAGGGTTTTGGAACTCTGGCGTTTACGGCTTTGGAAACTGGAAATGCTGCAAAGTGCCCTTGGCAAATGTTACCGAAAGGTTAAACGGCTGCCAATTGTGCTGAAAACGCCAGAACCCCCAAATATGGTGGCAGTCCACGTCTTGATGTTCTCCTTTTGAGGAAGTCAAGAGCTGCGGGTAGTGCAGGCCGCAGGGTTATTCAGAAAGCGGAGCTCAACACACGAACGACAACTGAACCCATCCCTCTGGACCGGCTGCTCAGTCCGCATCACGGGGCACCATCGACCACCTGAGAGTTGGGAGAGGCTGCGCCTTACCCTGAGCCCTTTGCATTTGGGGATGCGTGGGCTTGGCCTTCTGAGAACAGCTTGGGAGTGTGGATTCACCAAAACCTCGCCCGCAGAGCGCTTTAGACAGTCAGAGACGCTTAAAACTAGGGGCCCTAATGATTAGAAGAGGGTTTGGGGTCCACTATGCTATAACTTTAGTGAGGAACCCCCAACAATGGTACTGGCAGTTATTTAGGCCCCTATACTAAACCCCTATAGTACCCCTGATGGAATCCCTATAGACCCCTTTAAAGGGAACCCCAACATAGTCTGTACAAAAAAGCTTGATCAAGACACTTCCGATTATCGGAAGGTTGGCTTCGTGTTCTAAGCAGTCGCAAAGACATTTGCCACCGCGCCACTCCTGGTTACCACAGCCGACGTAAATGCCGCAGGTGGTGTTCACCAAGGTGTTCTTCCGCATGCCTCGGCAAAAACGCTGCCGATCTCTTGTGAGAAGATCATAGCCTCATAGCTGTTGACGACGGTGATGCTGCGGCTCATCATGACGACGATGGGGATGATGTTGCAGCTGATGATGACGGTGATGATGATGATGATGATGATGATGATGGTGATGGTGATGATATTGAATATGGTGGTGGTGATGCTGGTGGAAATGATGGCGGTGATGATGGTACTAATGTTGCTGATGACGATGATTGTGCTGATGGTGACGACCAGACATGAAGTCAACGAAGACGACGGCGACGACGACGACGTGAACGACGACGAGGTGGACGACTACGACGAAGCAAATACCAAACGCCTGTGACGCCGGCAACGACTCTGTGCCCTTACAAATGCTGCTTCATCATCTGCTTACCCTCCTCCTGCTGCTGCTCCTCCTCCTGCACACGCTCCCACCTACTGCCCCGACAGCTAGCATTACGACTGAGACTACTGCTATCTTGGCAGGTCAACTCGAGGAGCTGTGCCAGAGCTAGCCTGGAATGATTAGTAGGAGGTACCCCTAGCGAATCCTAAACACATGGCCGAAACCGAGGCCGCCTGCCCGAACACCAAAGTATGTCTCAGACCGCATAACTTGCTGTTCTATCGCCGCTGGCTTCGCTACGTGTTCTGTTGTGCTTCGTGACCTCAGCTAGTATCATACTGGCTACCTCCTAAACCCTGAAGCCTAAACCGTACCAGGTACCAGACTTCAACTCTCTCATTCTGTCGCAGAGTGGGCGCCGAGCCCATGTTGTACAGAGCCTCGTAGCCCACCTCCAGGATCAGCCTCTGATGCCTGGCTCGCTTCATCTAGGGCCTCCAGGAGCTTGAATGCTTGGTTTTATTAGGGTTCTACAGGTGATTTAGAGTTTAAGTTTAGCGGCCTTCATGATCAAAATATAAAAGACTGCTGTTACTTACTATACTATGGTTGTATAGGGACTACACTTTGATACTCTTAGTCATTGCTCCCACCCTTATAGCATGCAGGCTCAGCTCCGCAACTCGAACGGACGTCTCACTTGTTCTGCTTCTCCATCTTTGTTCCGCTGGAGTGCAATGTCGTTAAACTAGCTAACGCTATCATAACATCATTCATGTTGTTTTGCGGCTGGTGCTCTCGAAATTGCATGACAGCTGACACGGAAACTTGGCTTGAATGCGAAGTTCTCCAAACCAAGAACCTGAACAAAGACGATGAAGTAACACAGGGCTTTCATAGTCAGACAGAACAGGGGTTTTAGGGGAAGTTAAGCTATGATTGTTGACGGGCTGCAAGATAACGAACTATTGTTCGGCACCCCATGACAGCACAATATCCAAAATGCCGAACTTAGGCCCCAAGCACGGAAACTGCAAACTACAGGGAGACATTCGTCAGCTAGATCGAGCTCTCTAGAAAACACCAAATTCCATACCAAAAACCCTGTAGGACCCAGAACTTTCAAACCTGAGTTGAGAACTCTGGCCCCGTACCCTAAACTCCTAAAACCTAAATACCTAATTACTCTGACCCTGACCAAAAAGCCTAAACACCTTAACTCGAAAGCTGAATACTCTGACCCCAGACCCTCCAGCCCTCAAGCCCACGTTTGCTGTTGTGGGTGCATTTTTGCTGCGGGTGCACGGCGCGTCCGGAGCACCCACAACACGAAGCTTTCCACCACGCAGCCCCTACAACCCCTAGAGCCCTGACACCTAAACCCTGAACTTCCGACTGTACCCAGAAAAAGAATAAAACACGCCAGCACTACGGATCCATGGATTTCGCCTTCGCGCAGGGGGGGCTGCGGGCTTAGGTGTTTAGGGTCAAGGCTTCAGGCTCCAAGCTTGCAAATGGGAGTTTCCGCAAATTAGGGGATACCTTATTTTGGGATCCTTATAATAAGGATCCTATTTAGGGTACTATATTAGGGTCCCCTATTTTCAGAAACTCCCAAATCTCATTACCTGGACCCTAACAACCCTTCCAAAATTCTGCTTCTCTGCGAGGTCCCCAGTAAAGGTCCATCCCGATAGTATGTTCCTCTCTTATCACAGGCATTCCAAAGGATCCTAAGCTGTACTAAAACTTAGAACCCTAGCAAAATTATAACTTTAGCTGTTTCTTCGGGATTATAATAACCAAAAGTTTAAAAATATTTCTAAGTACCCCTAAGAGAAGGGCTCAAGCCAGCGAAGTTTCAAGTCCCAGGTTGCTGGGCTTCTGCTGGAAACGCAAGATCCTAGATCGCTTGAAATGATTTCACGGTTTAGGGTTTAGGGTTTGATCGCTTGACTAACCAGTGGTTGTGGGGCTCCCTTGGCTCTTTAGCTCCTTATTTAGGAGGGACTATCATCATCGCTGGCTCCTTAGCTCCTCCAATATCAATGGTTAGTTGAAGCGAGAAATCATTGTAGAGCACTTGTTGGTAAACCCATGTTCTTGATTCCCTGCATACGCGGATCTCAGTTACAATCCGTGCATTCGGAAAAGGCTTCAATCATGAGGGGGTCTGCGACAACCGTAATGGTTCATTGTTGGGATAGGGTTAAAAATATACATTTTTATTCCTTATTGATTGGGTTTAAGCACCCATAAAAATGTAAAATGTTACCCAACTATGACAAAGCCTATAACTGTCTGAAATGCTTGCTTGCTTGCTTGGAGTCTCTGGGCCTCTGAGTGGCTGAAGACATCAGCCAGCGTCTTGGAGGGCCCAAGGCCTTTAGGTCTCTGACATAGCAGTTTCAAGCTGAAGGAACCCCGAAGTAAACTTTAAAACTCAAACCCGCAGCCACAGCCCTGGCTTTTGGCTGATGGCCTCGTTGGGCGACATGGAGAACATCTTGCAGTCAAAGAGTTCGATGCCATCCATAAAGCTGCCATGTCTACCTCGAACAGCCCGCCCAAAGAAGGCTATCTAAACCCGAGAGTTTTAAGTTTTGGGGACTGCAAACTCCAAAACGTCCTCAAGACTGCTGAAGTCGAAATTCCATAAGCGTCAATCTTCCTTTGAAGAACCTTCGGGTGTCGATTTCGAACTTGCGAGGATACCATAATGAGTGTCAGTGCAGGTTCAGGACCACATGGCCAAAAGCAAAGGGATTGGTGTTTTAGCGGTACTTGGGTCCTAGGCTCACTAAACTCCATCAGTCAACCTCATGACCATAGCAAACGTCGAGGCCTGAAGATGACCTGAACGCTCCTGCTACTACTAGTAGCTCAACTGCAAACATATATACACGCACATACACGGACACACACACACACACACACCCACAGAGACACACACGCACGCATAGAGAAAACAAAGAGAGAGTCTGGATAGATAGCTAGATAGATCGCTAGGTAGGTAGGCAGGTAGGTAGGCAGGCAGGCAAGCAGGCACGGAGGTAGGTAGGTAGGTAGGTATATAAACAAATCGGTAAGTAGATAGACCGATAGCCTGATAGACACATGGATACAAAGATGGACAGACAGATAGACAGGCAAATGGATAGATAGGTAGATAGACAGACAGGTGGGTAATTCTAACCATCGGTATGTATGAATGCATGCAGGGATGGATGGCTGGCTGGCTGGCTGGCTGGCTGGCTGGCTGGCTGGATGGATGGATGGATGGATGGATGGATGTGTATAGCAGACATGTGTATGTGCATATATGTCTACGTATTGTACACACAACAATCAAAGAGACGTACAACACTAAGATCAAGGCTCTGCAGCTGTGTCACAGAAGGCGTCATCTTGCCGAGGGGCATGCTTGAATAGTTTACAACAGGTAGATCGTCTTGGAGCTTTCAGCTGAAATCTGCCACGTTCACACCAAGCAGCAGTAAGACTTGAAATATCGCCAGCTTTCTGGATCTGGATCGTAGACATCCTGCAACTCGCCAGAGTTTCGGGCTTCGGGCTGCAAGCGAACTTGCAGGGCAGCAGCTTCCAACGCTGACATCATGGAGAACATTATGAGGGACAGTACGCTGAAAAACTCACGAGGCTTCCACATCTCACTGAAAGACATCACAACTACGATAACACAGACCAAATTCATGCTGGACCACACTCCAAAGACGCGGGCATTCCAGGTCCTCCATGTGATCCCACCTTTCAGGGTAGGAGGCAAGGCAAATCAAGATGCGCAACTCGTGGCTGCTTGGCTCCACCCAAGCGCTATCCCTCTAATTGAACAAGCATGTATGGCTCCTTGATGTGCCCATGACGCTAAAGAAAGCGGCGCAGCACGTTCTAAGTACTCTATAGGAAACTCCAGAAAGTTGGAATATGGTTTCATGGTAGGATCCCCTATCATTTACCTTAAAGGGGTTACGATAATGATATTCCAACTTTCTGGCTTCTACTGTAAGGCTGTGGACCCTCTGAAAGTTTCCCGGTCCTTTCGGGCCTAAAGTTCTTGAACTTTAGGATTCCGGGATTCGAAAATTGGGCGACCCTAATACAGCACCCTCAATAGTAGGACCCTTATAATATATTATAAGGACCCCAAAATAAGGACCCCGAATTTTTCGAAGTTCAGGTCTTCAGCCTTCAGGGCTTTAGCCCTAAGACTGCGGAAAGGACGTCAGGGCTGAGCCCTCCAATCCGGAGGTTCATAGTTTAGAGTTTAGGGTTTAGAGTTTAGGGTTTAGGGTTTAGGGTTTAGAGTTTAGGGTTTAGAGTTTAGAGGGTTTAGGGCTTAGGGTTTAGGGTGAAGTTGAGGCAAGGTCGGACGCAGTGCGGAAGCCAACTCTTCCCCAAAGCCCCCCCCCCGTCTAGCTGAAGTCTACACTTGAAGGATTTCCGATGCAGCCCGACTTCCCAGGTGGATCGGCCGTAAACTACGGAACCCTGAACCCTAAACCCCTAAATCCGCAAAGCCCTAAACGCCCAGCACCAAAGCCCTAGACTACCGAGCCCTAGACCGTCCCGCCTGATCCTTGGAACCTCCATGGGGTAGTCCGGGCCGAAAGCTGTAGCCATGGCAAACCTCGGCAGAAACGATTTCCCTTAAGGATCCCTTTGCAGGTCCCTTTCATGGCTGGAACCCTTAGAAACCCTTAATAGATCCCTTCAAGGAGCCCTTAAGGCAATGCTTTGGCTCAGGGCGCCGGGGTTTTGGGTGTAGAGTTTAGGGTTGAGGGGTTTGAGTTTTGGGTTTGTAAGTGAATTAAGGATCCTATTCAAACTGGCTCAAGAAGCAACAACCAGTCTGTGCCAATAGACTTGCTGCAGAACTGCCCCTGTACTGCGACGAATGAGGCCAGGACGTGGACGGATTTTCCGTGCCCGGAAGTTTGCACGCCTGTTCACAAGGATGCAGGAGTGAAACTAGCGAGACCGGCGGAAATATCCGAAAGCCTAATTCCCGAGACAGCCAGGCTTGTGCCGAACACCTAGATGCGCCGATTGAGGCTAACCTCGGACCTGACGAGCAAAACCCCCCCCCAAAAAATTAAAGCCTGCCTCCAAACCCCAAACCACAAACTTTGGTGTTGCACCTGGCTGCTAGTGTTCGGCTGATGTCGGAAGCACCGGAATATAACCAAACCTTATCAGAGTGAGGCGGCGAGAAACCCCCTTAATCCCAAACCTTAAACCCGAAAAACCGAAAACCGAACCTGATGAGGGTCAGGAAGCAACTAGAGTTAGGGTACGTTATCACAACGATGCAGAAACTGGGGGGGTCTGACGGACCCAGAGTACCCAATACCCCTTAAATTACGCAACATACTATAAAGCTCAAAATATATAAGGCTCAGGATTATGGTTTGCCGGCACTTTGGGGACATGCTTGGAGCTTAGAGCGACGTGGAGCTTGCGCTGCACAGCTTAGAGCTTCGAGTCTGACCACGGGAAAGAATTCACATCACAAGGCAAGCCGTCTCATTGCCAAGCTAGAGGACTGCCCTTGTAAATTCTGTATGCTAATAGCATAGCATGCTCCCAAACATGTGGTGGCACTTGTATGGTCTAGCACCCAAAACCCTAAACTCTAAACCCCAACACCCTAAACCCTGAACCCCAACACCCTGAACTCTAAACCCTAAACCCCCAAAACCCTAAACCGTAGGGGGATGGAGTTCCGGGCTTGCCATGGAGGCCCCCTGAGGGAGTGACGAAACATGTCTTCGCCTCTTGGGCGATACGAAACCCACAAAGAGGGTTTAGGGTTTAGGGTTTAGGGTTTAGGTTTAGGGGTTAGGGGTTAGGGTTTAGGGCCACTATCGCCAATACCCCGTACTTAAGGAAGATACCATAAAGAGCAAGGGGATTAACAGTTAAGGCACATTCTTTAATTCAAGAGCATGAGGCCCTCTGGTAACCGGAACCCTAAAGCTTTAGGGCTTTTGGCCTTTAGTATTCCTGATGCTGGAAGTAGCTTCAAAGTCCTAAACCTCTAAGCCTAAACATTAAGCCCTAAACCCCAAAATTTAATCTGCCTGGCAGCTTCAAAATCCTAAACTATCCCTAAACCTTAAAACCCAAACTTTAATCTTCCTGAGAAGCGTTTGTTCTTCGGATTGAAATTGGATCTTCAAAATCCTAAACCATCCCTAAACCCTAAGCCCCAAACTGTAATCTTCCTGGAAAGCTTCTCTTCTTCGGATTCAAGTAGCATGCATGTGGGTGGTTGTCAAAATCAGGCTCCCTAATTGGGTACCCTAGATATTAGGTGCCGTACTATAGTAGGGACCCAAAAAGGGACCCCAATTTTGACAACCACCCATGCCCGCGACTGAGAAAGCCCCGAGTGACCGAAGACCAGCCCCACGTGAACGCTGTAGACAAGTGAAGCTTTGGCTACTCTAGGGGCCTGAATAATTAGAATCGGATTTTGGGGCATATTATACTCTAACTATAATAAGGAACCGCCACTCTAGGGGCCTGAATAATTTGTGTAGGGTTTTGGGGTATATTACACTATAATTAGAATAAGGAACCCCCAAAATACTTAGGTAAGTGTTATTGGGCCGAAAAAAAGCACATAAGCAAAAATAAGGATAGGGATATCCCATGTAGACTCCCTTATAATGAAGCCCAAGAAGGTGAGGATATCCCTATAAAATGCTTATGCTTGTGTGCGTTTTGGGTCCCTAATGTTAAAGTCTCCATTGTACCTTTGACTGAGAGCCCTACAGTCTTGAACCCCCTATCCCGAGAGAGGGCACCCCCGCCTCGCCCTTGACCGCAATCATCTGGCCCTTGTGAAACCTGATTTCAGGATTGGTTGCGGTCATGGCTTCAACTACAACCATATCATACCATGCCATGCCATGCCATAGGACGTCACATCGCAGAAGATCAGAGCAGGTCATACCATATCATGTCACGTCAAATCACACCGTGCAATATGAATTAAGGCGCATCATGGCATGCCCTATCGTATCAGTATCATATCACCTCATGCCATATCATCTCATATCATATCATCATGCTAATCACAAATGCCATAACTGTCAAAAGAGATAATGATTCCAACCTCTTGCCAATGCTTCGAACTCAAAGGACAAATCAAATGTCTAGCTTCGGGGTTGGGTCCATCCGAGTGCCGTTTCCCAGCCGTTACTCGCCCTGTCAGTTCACTACGCCAAAGACCGAACCACGCAGCAAAACATCAGAAGTGCCGTAACAGGGTCTTAAAAGTCAGAATAAGGTTTTGGGAGAGACTACGCTATAAGGGGGTACTGATGGTTATATTGGGGGCCATAAGGGGGTAGGAGACGGTATACCCTGAACCCTGAGGCTTATCTTTCTACAGAAAGGACGAGAGGTTGGCATCCCGAAAAACTGAAGCCTGAAACCCCTAATCCCGACTTTAACCCAGGGTCTTTAGGCTTAGGGTTTCTGGTTGTAAGGTTTAGGTAGAAAGTCCCGGGTCTTTGGGGTTGTATTTTCAGGTTTAGGGTTCAGGGTTAGGGTTTAGGGGGCTTGGGGCCTTGGGTTTAGCGCTGGAGCCAAACAGGTCTCAAAGTCAAAGCTTAGGCTGGCTTGGAAGGGCCCTTTTAAGTGGCCCACATGTGGTTCATGGCCGACTGCCATTCCCGCGGAATGTTGGGATCCCAGAACCTCAGGCGAGGAGGGCGGTCCCAGGGTTTACTGGTACTATTACTATTACTATTACTCATACGATTACTATTCCTACTACTATGACTATTACTACTACTATTACTCATACGACTACTATTCCTATTACTATGACTATTACTACTACTATTACTCATACGACTACTATTCCTATTACTATGACTATTACTACTACTATTACTCATACGGTTACTATTCCTATTACTATGACTATTACTACTACTATTACTCATACGATTACTATTCCTATTACTATGACTATTACTACTACTCTTACTCATACGACTACTATTCCTATTACTATGACTATTACTACTACTATTACTCATACGACTACTATTCCCATTACTATGACTATTACTATTACTATGACTCATACGATTACTATTCCTATTACTATTACTATTACTATTACTCATACGGTTACTATTCCTATAACTATGACTATTACTATTACTATTAAAAGGTTGGTGGCTTCGTGGTTTTGGGTGCGGGTTCAGTTTTTGTGGAGTAGGGTTTGAGGTTCAGTGTTTAGGATTTAGGATTTAAGGAGTTGGCTACTGAGTAACTTCCGTCATCCCAAGTTTTCAGTTCCTGACTCAAAAACCTTGCCAAAATCAGGCAGGGGCTGGAAGGGCTGGAAGCAACAAGACATGTAGTAGAAACCCCGGCTTATAAATATATATATATATATATATATATGAAACCTTCTAAAGTCACACGCCTCACTATGTTCCAAGAGAGTCCGAGTCTCCTTGATTAAGGACATGTAACCTAAAACTTAAGATTAAGCCAGTATTCTTACATAGATTCGTTCAACAGTCTAAAGTATGTTCCTTGATGAAGAAGCTATGGGCTTTCTGCAAGCGTTGTGCTGCTCGCCCTCTGCGCAGCAGTAGAGCCAAGCACACCCCAACATCTGAATCCCGGATATCTCCGGAACATGGGTTTAGGGTTCAGGGGCGGATCCCAATTCGGGGTCCCTTCCCGTTTGGGGGTCTGTGTTCTGTCTGAAACCCCACATTGCATAACAAACTGAGGCGTGGCTGGGAGTTGAGGTTCTTCTCTTTCAGCTCCTGCGCATAGGTCGAGATCCCCTTGCTGAGTTTTTTTTTTGTTTGCTGAGTTCGGGGCTAGGGCTGCGAGGTTTGGACGCCTGACCCGGATCATGGTATGAAGGTTTCAGGCTTTGCTTAGAGGATCATGGGACTTAGTAAGTAAGGTTATAAGTAGGTTATAATTAGGATAACCCCGCTTAAGGGGACTTATAACCCCAATTATAACCTACTTACTAAGTCCCGTGATCCTTTAAGTGGGGTTTATACCCCAAACCATAAACCCTAAATCGTAAACCCTAAACGTTAAACCCTGAACCTTAAACCCTGAACACTAAACCCCCAACCCGTTTAGGACTGAGACTTTGCGGGTTCAGGGTGTTGCAAACTTGGCGTTTAGGGATGGAAAACGGAGCTTCATACTGTCATTTACAGTAAGCTAGATTCCTGCATTAAGGGGTATTTAACCCTAGAAAACCCTTATGAAACCGGCCCCCTTAAAGGAACCCTAACTTTAAGTTATAGGAGGACCAGGGGCACCTGAAGGGAGACTCCCGGCCAAGAGAACTGAGACAAAACTTTTGCATTTTGAGATTCGAAAGGAAATAACCTAATCACGATTTAGAGTTTAGGGTGTTTAGGGTTTAGGGACTTAGGGCTAGGGGGTTTAGAATTTGGATTTACGGCTTAGGATTTCGGGGAATCTGCCTCGCTTTGAAAACGTGATGCGCATGCTCCAACACTGTAACTCACGCCCAAGCCGAAGCAGCAGATGATGCACACTTGATCTCCGGGCTCGAGCCGGATACCAATACAAGAGAACTACACCCCAAACCCTCTTCAACCACAGGACCATGTACAACCCAACCATGCGCTAATACCCGCAAAACCATCCAACTCAAACCCTAAACCCTAAACCCTAAACCCTCTCAAGGACTGTCCCGAAGGCGATTCACGGCCCAGTCCTCGGCAATTGCAGGAACAAGCTTGGAGCTAGAGGACTTCGGGTTTCGGTGCAAGTTTAGTTTGAGGGTTTAGGGTTTAGGGTTTGAGGGTTAGAGAGAAACGTCAGGGATTTGGAAGTGAGAGTTCTGGAGGCCTAAGCAATAGACGGATACAAATGTTTCAGTCTGTGAGTGCCGGTTGAGGCTACGGAAGTGATCGTCATGGTCCTCGTCACCGCCGTCGTCGTTAATTACTGCTATTGATACTTGTTCGTTGTTGGTGTTGTCGTGTTGGTGGTTGTTGCTGCTCCTGTCATTGCGAGTGTTTTCGACACTGCCGCGGTTGCTGACGCGGGTGCTGATGCAGGTGGTTGTGGTTGTGGTTGCTGCTAGTGCTGCTGTTGTTGTTGCTGCTGTCGGGGTGCTGTTGTTGCTGCTGCTGCACAAAAAAGTGGGCCCTTTGATCAACGGAGGGTCATATGTAAACATATATATATATATATACACACACACATGTCAGAAAGGTCAAAGGCTACCTGACCAGCCCCTAAGAATTGCTGCCGCAGGTGAGGGCTATACATGAGACCTGTTCTCATTCCACAGATTCGACACGCAAGCCGTTTCTGGTGCGAAAACCGGCCCAATGGAGCTGGCAAGTAAGGCTATACGTAAAATATGGGGACTTATAGCCCCAACGGTGACCCTACTTACTAAGTCCCCTGAGCCCTAAATATGGCACTGAGCCCTGAATATAGTACCCTTGTAGGAACCCTTACACGAATCCTACCCAATTATCACCCTACTTACTATTATTAAGTCCCTGAAGCCCTAAGCATGGTACCGTTGCAGGTACCTTTAAACGAACCCTACCCAATTATAACTCTACTTACTGAGTCCCCTGGGCCCTAGTACCCTTGTAGGAACCCTTAAACGAAAAACGCACCCCCAACTTACTAAGTCCCCTGAGCCCTTAAGTAGGGTTCAAAAGAGCTCAAGCTCTCCGTACTCGGGGCTTGCGGAGTTTCAGCTTCTTCGCTGCGTAAGTTGATTCAGGGGCCTTCATAATTACCGTAGGGCTTTGGGTGGATTATACTGTAAAAACTTGTTAGGGGCTGTAAGGAGGCATTATCATTAAATATTCTGACCCGTAGATTACAGATCTTGAGGCGGCGACGTCGAGCTCTTTTGCGGCCGGGATCATTTTATCCGACCTGCCAAGTACATTGCTTGGGCCATGTAACCTCATCCCTAAATCATATATAAGCCCTAAACCCTAAATCCTGAACCCCAACCCTAAACCCTCAACCCGTTGTAAGCCCTAAACCCTAAGCCCTGAACCCCAACGCTAAACCCTGCGCCGAGAGCCCTAAACCCTAAACCCTATAGATCCCCTTAAAAGGAACCCTTATAGATCCCTTCAAAAGGAACCCCTATAGATCCCTTAAAGGGAACCCTAACCCCTAAACCCTGAGCCGCGAGCCCGAGCCCGAAATCAAAGCTTTCCACATCTCCAAATCGAATCGACGGCATCCCGATGTAAAAGTAGGGTTTAGGGCTCCTTTTTAAGGGTACTATAGGGCTCTATAATGGGGGTTCCTTAAGGGATCCATAAGGGTTCTAGAAGGAGGATCATGGGACTTAGTAAGTAAGGTTATAAGTACCTAAAGCCTGAATTCCAAATCGGTGGCTCTCTAAAGTGGGGTTCCTTTCAAGGAAACTTTTTATCAGGGTGCCGCACGGACGCTGTTGCAAAGAGCTACCCGAAAATTTCAAGTCATCAAGATCGACCCTAAGCCTAAACCGTAAGACCTGACATATGTCAAGCCATCAGCATCTCCTAGCACCCGGGCTGAGATCCACTCCTTCATGGCAGGCACTTCTGAAAGATTTAAGATTAGGGGTTTAGGGTGGAAGTTTAGGATTCAAGGCTGCCGGGGCAGTTGAAAGCAGCTGTGCTTTGAACTTCCAGACTTGCACTGTGGCCCTGAAGGCAAACAGATCCAATCAGTCTTTTCAGGACACGTTCGGCCTCGATTGGGACAGGAGGGCAGTGAGTTCTGGGTTGTGGCTCAAGCGAAACATGAAGTAGATGTGTCCGAAGAGGCGCGCTGCGGGCCGTTGTTCTTCAGACGGTTTTAAGGTGTTGACTTCGGAAGTGCCGCAGGTGGGGATCTTAAACTGAAGCATTGAAACTCTGAACGTTAAGCCCAAAACCCTGAACCCTGAGCCCTGAACATGAACAAAAGGTGCCTGGCCTCTTGTTCGCTCTAGACTTCCGCTCGTTCTGGAGGAAAAAGGCACTGATGGCCATGGACCGGCCGTTCCTGGGCTTCGGGGTGCTTGAAGCTTTCCTTTCAAGGAGCGAGGTTTAAGGTTTAAGGTTTAGGGTGTAAGGTCTAGGGTTCGGGGTTTAGGGTCTAGGCCCCAAGATTTAGTGTTTAGGGGGTCGGGTTTAGGAACCCTGCGCACAGGGCTTCGGAGTTTGCTTGGGATTCGCCCAGAGAGCGCAAGATCCCTTAATTAGGGAATATACCGTCAATGACAAGGGGCAGTATATTCCTTAATTAAGGGGTATTGGCTGTCTGGGTGAGGCTTTGAAGGCAGTTTCAGATCATGATGTAGAGGCCATAAAGAGGACAGGGTTTGTTTAAAGTACTCCTTTAAGGGGTTTCTTCTAAAGGCTTCTATGAGGGGTCTATAGGGACCTTAGCGATTGAAGTAAGACTTTGGGCCTTGGGGAAATATTATAGCATAATGATCAGGAAGCCTGAGGAATAAAGTTGGAAATTGTCATCGGCACTTTCTGGCATCATGAAATGACTAAATCAAACAAGTAGGAAATCACAACAAGCCTCAACTGCTTTAACAATCCACGATTGGTTCTTCTCGGGTCTAAGACTTTAATTCGGCTAACGGTTGGCAACTTTCTTGCGCGGTTATAATGTACGGAATGAACTAAACAATACATAATACACAAACAGTAGTCATGTAGCATACAGTGTACAGTATATAGAGAAAAGAAAAAGATTCGGCAGCCCAATACCCCTTCATTAAGGACTGTATATTCCTTAACTAATGGGTATTGGGCTGTGAGGATCGTGCAGCCGAAGGGTAGCTCGCTTCTGATTTTGGGTTTGGGGTTGGGGGTTCTAGGGCTCGGGGCTTGGAGTGTAGGGTTGCTTCACCGGATTGAAGGCTTGCCCACAGCCGCAACACTGATGACACTAGATCCTAAACCCTAAACCCTTTAAAACCCATAAACCCCTCAACCCTAAACCCTAAACCCTTTAAAACCAATAGACCCTAAACGCTTTAAAACCCATAAACCCTCAGGAGCAGTGCAGGTCGGCCGGGGCAGCTGCGAGAAATGTTTGTGCGACAGGAGATCCGGTCGAAGAACCTGGTTGTGCGTAGACGGGCTTCTGGGTTTGGGGGTTGAGGGCTTTGGGGTTTAGGGCTTCAGGTTTCTTGGGCGTTCAAAGGTTTCGGGTCCCATGCGTTAGGCAGAAATTCAACAAGGGCATTGGCATTTTCCATGCCGGCTTAGGTTCATACATGGCAACATCCCGCAACTTTGCCCACATGCTTCTTCCAGGGCTCACGGGCAGAATCGAGTGTCCAGGCTTAGTAGAAGCCCATTACAGGTGGGTAATTCCTCTTCCATAGTACTCCCATAAGACCCCTTTACCTTATAGGAGTGGTATGGAAGGCTTATGGGAGACTACCCACCTTAAAACTACCCACCTGTAAATGGCTTAGACTTAGGGCGTAAGGGTTTAAGGGCAAGGTCCCTTGACTTGATAGCACTTGCCTTCGCTTTGCATTCCAAACTTAAACTCTGGAGCCTACTCTTCACCCAAGCACACTTGAACTGAACTCCCCAAACCCCTCAACCTAAGCCTACATCCTAAAGCCAAAGCCCTTAACCCCAAACTCCTAAACCCTCAACCCTAACCTCTAAACTCCCAAACTCTTAAGTAGGTAGTATTATTAGGGAGACCCCTTAAAGGGTACCCCTTCTGAACCCTACTTCTGGCTCTCTTAAAAGGTGCCTTATTGAGAGGGTCTGTATCCCCAGGCCCCTCATCCTAACTCCCACTAAGCCCTCGTCTCCCGCACCCTAAGCCCCTCATCCCCCACGAGCTCAAACCCCAGAAGCGCTCAGCCGTCACTGGGTGCACGGACTACAAGCGTTCCTGGACGCGTGATGATGTCAAGCGTCTCCTGCGCTCTGCGAATTTAGGGGCCTTGATGACAAGAGTAGGGTTTTGGGGGTGACACTATACTTTTTAAGTCTATGAGGACTCACTTCCGAATGCATGGTTTGGGGTTCATCATTTGGGTTTGGGATTCAAACAGGGTGTCAGATACATGGTTTAGGGTTTGGGGTTTAGAGTAGCGCAGGGAAGAACCCGTCGTATATGATCAGTGTTCACAGGGCCATATTGCAACAGCTTAAACCCCGAAGCCAAACCCCGAACCCCAACGCAACAAAGCCTCAGAAAGCCTGATCACCCTGAAAACTCCAAACCCTCAAGACCCTGAGAACCCAAAACCCTCAAAACCCCAAATCCCCTGCAAGCCATGAAATAAAGTCAATACCTTAAACCGCAAAACATACCGCATCCAACAATCGAAAGACCTTCCCAACACCTCCCCGGCAATCCCTTCCCGAGAAAAGGTAGACTTTCGGCGAGAATTCAGCTTGAAGAAGGAGACCACAAATACAACGGGCATTGGTCTGCTAGATGGTTTATAATTATATAACTTTAGAGAGGCAGGTTGTCACACAGCCATGTGCTTTTCGATCTCGGGACAGGATTATTCTCTCATAGGCTTGAGAGCTCGGTGAACACAGTGTGGCGCGGTGTGATCCAATGGTATCATTGCTGCACAAAGCAAAGGAATACACCGTGTTCACACCTGTGTGAAGTCCTGCTCTGATAGTATGAAATGGCATAGCACTACCAACACTGCGCCGAATTCCAGACATCCCAGACTGCTTCCAAACAAGCCTCGATCAAAAACATGCCCTGCGCACCTTAACGCCAACAATTTGCTTCATGTACATCCCTGATGACTGTAAAACCTCTACTCTTCCGCAACAACAAACTGTCAACACACTTCGTTAATGTTTAGGGTTTACAGTAAGGTTTAGGAAGTCTAGGATAACTGCAAGACAGGCATTGAGTCTAAAGGAGACTACAATTGTCATCCTGCACCCCCTTATCTTCCCCCCCTCACCCCCCCGAGGCTCCGCGTCGTCGGTGTTGTAGGGTCTCATCTCTAGCGTCCCCGTCGACGGGCCCAGGAAAACGATGATCATGACCTGCATTCTGGGATTTCATGTGGTCTGACACCCTTAAAACCAAGGTTGGGGGGGTCTGAGGTTGTTGAGCCTTTGGTTCCAACCTGTCGTTTAGGGCTTCTCTAGACCCTTGTAGACTTCAACACCGAGCGTCGCCGAATAAACCCAGTCTGGTGGAATTGTTTGGCAGATGATCTAACAGTTACTTGGACATACTTGTTTCAGGATGCAAGTTATAGTTGTGTTTGCTGTGACTCTCATCAACGCTATGGCCTCACCACTGACTATTGTCCCTACTACAATTTCGTCAAACGGATGACCGTTATCAGATTTTCAGTGCCTGTTTGAAAAGCGCGAGGGACTCAGCAAGTAAGTCGTAATTGGGGTTGTAAGTCCCCTAATGGGGATTATCCTAATGACCAAGTTACTCATAAACTTCGCACTAAGTCCCTTGATCCTTACGAAGGCATCTGAACGGTTGCCTTGTGTCGCACAAACTGCGCCAGCCACCGCACGACCTGGCAACGTGACGCTTATAGCTGCCCTGCCGGCAATAGTGATGGCGGTATTGCTTTAGTAATGGTACCTGGGAGAAGGATACCGTAGTTGAGCTACAGTGAGACATCAACCTCAGCGCAGGTCTCTATGCTGCTGTAAACGAGGCATTGATCAACTGTGCAAGCACAGCGTATCGCAGAGTGAAATGAGCCTGGCTTGCCCACTCGGAGCTGCGCAAGGCTGAACGAGATGCAAGCACAAACTGTGAGAACCAGCCAATCGCTCCAGACCTTCGTGGCCGACTCCAACCACGCTCGCCACTCACTTCTTTTTGGCACGATGTGCATGGCTCTTGCAGGCGGGGTTGAGGCACTCAAACCCAGGTCCAACAGCTGATCCTTCACATTATGTTGTTGATGTGGTGGACTTTCTGAGAATGTGCAGCTGCACTGAATCTGCACATGTACTCATGGGATCGCCATCGGATGACTGCACAGGCGTTCAACATCCATCTACCGACAAGCTGATACCCCACTCACGAATCCAAACCGTAAACCCCTGTGGGGATGATGTGAGTTCAATGCACGCCAAAATTCATTAGCGCGGATCTTCTGGACCAGTGCCGCAATGAAAGGGCACTTGTGGGTACTGGACGAAGGGGTTGGAGGCTTGGATTTTCAATCTTGCCTGGGTTGCAGGCTTGTCAGGTCAGTTCCACCATCTGCTGTGCAGGGTTCCCGAGAGCGGGCCAAGACAGAAAGCGGGCTTTGCATCCCACGGGCTATCGTGCATGCAGCGAGGACTGCACCGGACCAGCTGGTCGAAGTAATGCAGGGGCCTTAATAGTTAGAATAGGGTTTTGGGGTTCTATAATATAAATCTAGTACAATATCCCCCAAAACCCTATTCTAATTCTTAAGGCCCCTACATCAGCGGGTCCGAGAAGACCCCAGCCAAGTCGCTGAAAGTCTGCTCACACGATGTCCAACAGCATCCACGAGCCATGTCGGAAATGGACGCCGGCTCATCACGAGCTAGGTGACCAGATAGGTTGCTTGTTCTTCTTCTGGAAGGGAGCATCCAAAAGCCGGTGGCCAGCTGGCCGGTACATTCTTTCAGCGGAGCGATTCTTCACATCTCGCACTACAGGTTCAGAAGATGTCAAGTCCGCAGTGGCGGCGGGGGTGGGGCTGGTGCTGGGGCTTGTGGTGGGGCCTGCGGCACAGGCGCCTGTGGCAACGGGGCTGGTGGTGGTGGCGGTGGGGGAGCTGGAGGAGCTGGGGGTGGGGGAGGCGGAAGTACGGTGCCAGCCGTGCCTTGCGACGTACCAAGCCAGAATGCAGCAGGGTTGCTGACATCATACCCAGCGCGCTCTTCCTTTCGCTTCGCCTTGGCATTGCACTCAGCACAAATCCCTACACTGCCGTTGATTCCGATTAGGATGACTTTAGGACGCAATACTCGAGAGATTTTCAACCTACTTTGATCGCCCTTGGTACAGTACTTTGGGCTTCCCGAACCCTTCGCCCAAAAACGCGCACTGCAAGAGTATTCGACCTGTCATCGGCAGATATCAGGGCCTCGTCTTCGAGATGCTTCTGTTTTGCTGGGAACCGCGAATAACACAGGGGCCTTAATAATTTGCTTAGCGTTTTGGGGCCCACTATAACTATACTATAATTCTTGGGAACCCCCAAAGTACAGGAGTACTGGTCATTATTTAGGCCCCTACACTAGATGATCCAGTGCGCCTCATGTAAGGCTCCCCTATCAAGGACCTGCAGTGTATGACTTAAGGAGAATTCCTGAATTGAGCTCTGAGCTCTTGGGGTGCCTAAAGCCCTAGTAGCATTTCTCCCCTGTAGCGATCCAACGAAGACGAATGAACAGCTTGTGAAAACCTTCGGAAAACATATCACACCTCTCCACAAAATCATGTCACAGCTTTAATGTCGGGGCCTTGAGAATCCAAATGGGGTTTTGGAGCACATTGGCCCTAGCATAAGAAAAAGGCGGATCCCCAACACTGTCTTTGCTCCAACCCCGAATATTGCAAGGAATACTGCGGCAATGAGCCCAGGTTCCTGAGCGGCCCCTTCATAGAGAGGGCACCCTTTTCCTAGTGTTCAGCTTGAACAAGGGGACCCTGAAATCAAAACGGCAAAAGGGTACTGCTCAGGAACCTAGGAGCCCTCTCCGTCGCGCTCTGCGAGCGTCGCAGCAGTCGCCTTGCATCGGGAACCTGAGCCGCTCGACGGCGGCAGCGCGCGACGAGGCGCTCTGCGCCTCGGACGTTTCCAGTTTTAGGGTTCAGGGTTTGGGGTTTACAGTTTAGGGTTTAGAGTTTTCGGGTTTAGGGTTTAGGGGTTTAGGGTTGAGGGTTTTAGGGTTCAGGGCTTGGGATCCAACAATAGATTTTCGGTGTTTTGCGTTTAAGGCTCCGAGCTTGGGGACATAGGGTTCTGGATAAGGGTAGTTCAGAGCGACCCCAGAAGTTGGATCCCTCCTCCCCGTACTCCAAACTTAACAAAGCAGCCTTTGAATTTAGGGGTTTGGGGGTCGTATACGTAATGACATGGGGACTATGATACAAAGGGACATTACTCCTACTTGTTCAAACCCCGATAGAACCTGATAGATATTGGAATTGAAGAATCCTCATTGCGCACCCAGTAGAAGTGGCCCCGGAGCGTTCCATAACATAACTATATCTCACTCGACTAAGAGGCCCGTGCACGGTGCAAGCAGTGCCGTCCATAAAATAACTTTAGTACACTTTGCCCCAAGACCCCATCCTGATTATGCCAGGTCTGAAAGCCCTAAACGAAATCAGCAAAACATGCCCAAGCCTGCAGAAACCCTATTCTCCAACACCTGGACTTTCGGCCTTTATGGCGGCTGCGGGGAGATCGACCGACGGTTCCTCTTTTTTCGGCTTTGTACCGCATTGGCCAAATAAGGGCTTCCCTGAAAATGGATCTTTCCGCTATACTAAGGTTTATAGGATTTGAATCTAGGGCCTTCGAATAAGGCTTTGCGGTAAAGTATGCTAGGCAGTGTGTGTTGAGTTCTGGTTCAAAACCATGGTTTAGGTTGAACCCATGCGAACCTAAACTCTGAACCCTAAACCTTAAATCCTAAACCCTAAACCCTAAACCCCTAAACCCCTAAACCCCTAAACCCTAAACCCCTAAACCCCTAAACCCCTAAACCCTAAACCCTAAACCCCAAGCCCAAAGCCAGAGCCACCAAGGTGCCACGAAAGTCCCGCCAGGAGACCCGGTCCTCGCACAGCGCTTTGGCTTAGGGGTTTGGGGCTTAGGAAGGGTTTAGGGTTTAGGCTTGAGGGTTTAGAATTCAGGGTTTAGGGTTTGGGGTTTAGGGGTTTTAGGGGTTTTAGGGGTTTTAGGGGGTTTTAGGGGGTTTTAGGTGGTTTTACGGGGTTTAGGGTTTACGGTTTAAGGGCTCCTTTAAGGGATCCATAGGATTTTAGGGGTTTAGGGTAGAGGGGTTTGGGGATCTAGGGGTTTGGGGGCTTTAGGGGTTTACGGTTTAAGGGCTCCTTTAAGGGATCCATAAGGTTTTTTTGATGGCCTTTTTGAGTCCTCCTGACAAAATCTGACAGCCTCCTCAGCCCATATTGGCCAGGCATGCTCCATAGGGTTTAGGGTAGAGGGGTTAGGGATCTAGGGGTTTGGGGGCTTTAGGGGTTTAGGGTATAGGATTCCGGTATATGGTTGAGGGTCTAGGAGCACCCGGAAGTTCCCTGTACACTCGCCGCAGGGACCAACTTCCCGCAGTCAGCAACCCTACCGATGCAAAACCCCACTGAAAAAAGCTGATCTCCACAGCCGCAACGCTAGACCCTGAACCCCTAAACCCCAAACCCGTTTCCTGCATAGAGCTGATGATACAAGTCCTGCAATACCCATAATAAGGAATATACCATAATTCCGTTACTAAGGTAATGCAGGATTTACATCACCAGCTTTTTGTTGGGGAGGGCCTCCGGGAGGCAATCCCAAATTCGATCAGCTGCGGGTCCTCGTAGCGCGCCGGGAGCAAGGGCTTTTCCAGCAGCTCCTCGGTTAAAGGAGCCCTGAAAGGGTCCTTTCAAGGGTTCCTTAAAGGGTTCCTAAGGGTTCCTCTGAGGGTTCCTTAAAGGGGTTCCTTCAAGGGTTCCTTAAAGGGTTCCTTTAAGGGTTCCTCAAAGGGTTCCTTCAAGGGTTTCTTCAAGGGTCCATTTAAGGGTTCCTTAAGGGCTCCGTAGGGTTTGGGGTTTCGGGTTTCGGGGGCTCCTTTAGGGTTTTAGAACGAATCTTTTCGGTTTCTCTCAAGGGTTCCCAAAAAAAACGAAGGAGCCCTTGACAAAGCCCGTGAAGATTCTCGTATTTCGCTGTCTTCGTTAAGAACTTTGGCAGGGTTAGTTCTGTTAATCCCTTAGACTTGCTGGAGCTTCTATCGACATATTATGGAGCTGTTAACCCTCCGAGTTGTTAGAGCCTTCATATGCTTCATAGTGTTCTAATGGCATTAAAACAGTACAGCCGTTACACGTTTTGTTCGGAGTTGCTGGGCCGCCAAACATGACGGAACCTGTTCTAGGATACCCAGTACCCTACGAATAAAAAGGCCTCTCTTTTTGGTATTGGGTAACTTTATAAGGAACCTAGGACTACAAAATGGGAATAAGGGTACTACTAGGCATCCTAGTGTTTCAGATTCGTGTAGGAAACGTTGGTAAGCGCCCTCTTTTTTTCGAAGGATTCTTCGATAGTTGTCTAAATGACGGCTCCTGTTGAGGCCCCCAGAATAGCACGACACCCCTGTAAAAAGAACCCTAAAACTGACCCCCTAATTTTGACAGCCACCCCCCAATGTTGCCCCCTTAACCCTAATCCCTATAGATCCCTTCCAGAAACCTAAAGAAACACTAGGAACCATTCCTTAATCAAGGGATAAGTAAGGCGCCTATATGAAGCTCGTTCCTTTAAAGGGCTCCTTTAAGGGATCCTATAAGGGTTCTATAAGGGGGAGTTTAGGGTACTTAGAGGATCATGGGACTTAGTAAGTAGGTTATAATTCGGACTATGAGTCCCCTAAGTGGGGTTATCCAATATTGTTACCTACCTATAACCTGACCTTACTTGCTAAGTCCCATGATCCTTCATGAACCATCCGGACTCCCGAAAGACCTACCTTTTCAAGGAGGCTCTTGTTAAGGAACTTAATGAAAGTTACCAAAGCAGCCATAACAAGGAAACCACATTGCTTACTATTGAACCCTACTCTGGTAGCCAAAAAACCACCATTACGTACTGCAGAACCAAACTGTGGTAACTTATTTAAACTAAGTTCCTCAACAAGAACCAGGCAGCTTGAGGACCACAGGGTTCATGGGCCCAGGTGCCTTGAGGCCCTCCAACCAACCGCTTGCTCCCTCATCTCCCTCTCACATGAGCTACCCAGAGAGCCCAAAAATTAAATCTCAAGTAAGGAATGTACCTTAAACAATAAGGGGCTTCAAAATTCTGGTTGGAGCTATGTTGCTTAATTAAGGGCTCTCTCGGTACTGTCTAAACTCTCTATCAAACCCTAAACCTTTGTAGATCCCTTCAAGAGTAAGTCGTCGCGGTCCTGGCTTGCCACCGCCGCTGCATGGAAGCCATCCATAGCCAGCCTTCGCGAGACTTGAGCATCGAATAAAACGGGGTTTGGGGCTTTGGGGCTTTGGCTTCAGGACTTTCGGGCTTTAGGGCTTCAGGGCTTTGGGGCTTCAGGGTTTAGGAGTTTACGGTTTACGTTGTTCGAGTTTAGGTTTTCTGCGCTTTCGCTGCTGGCATGGCTTGTGCCGGAAAGTGGAGAGAGGAGAAGAGGGCGACCGGTAGGAAGCTGGAAACGCAACAGATATGGGAGTTTCCGAAAATAGGGGACCCTAATATAGCACCCTAAATAGTAGGATCCTTAATATAAGGACCCCAAGATAAGGTACCCCCAATTTTCGGAAACTCCCGTATAGGTTCACGCATCTTCAGAGCAAGAGCCGAAGGAGCAACTGCCATGAAGGGAGTGAAAGGTTCATCGTTTTTGCCCCTTAGGGTTAGGGTTTAGGGTTTAGGGTTTAGGGCCTATAGGGTTTAGGGTTTAGGGTTTAGGTTATATTAGCATAACCCCACTTCGGGGACTTACAACCCCAATAATCAGCTACTTACTAAGTTCCATGATCCTTTTTGTCCAGGTGGTGCATGATCTACGGTCGCACGACGAATGGACGAGGCAGCCCCGAAGCGAGCAGACGTTTCCAAAGATCTTCCGAATGCGTTGCAACGGATCCAATGAGATGATAGAAACTGGGGATATTGGAAAGAGATATCGAAAGATAAACCTAAAAACCCTAGACCCCCAAAACCCCTAACCCGTAGCCCCTGATCCCTACACCCCTACACCCCTACACCCCTACACCCCAACACCCCTAAACCCTACCTTCATCTGCTCAAAGGCTGTGGTCACGTGCCGGGTCTCTGGAGGAAGTCATGCTTAGAGCTAGGGGGTTCCGGACTTCAGGCATTAGGTATAGAGAGACTACTAGGACTTACTGGGGTTTAGGATCTAAGGGTTTAGGGGTTTAGTGGTTAGGGGCTTAGGGTTTAGGGGTTGAGGGGTTTTGGGGTTTGAGTTTAGGGTTTAGGGTTCAGGGCTACGATGAGCGTCTCACCGACAAAGTCACCGGAGACGTGCACAGAAATGATTCGCACCGTCTGGGTTTGCTTTCTATTCGTAGCCCAATTGAGCTGATCTCGCACGGCACTACTGTCACAACCGAAATCAGCACGACCCCAGGTCACCACGGAGCCATCCCCGAGGATCGCAGCAAACGCATGCGACGTCGCTTGAATCTGCTGAACATTCTTCAGCTGATCTCGCACAGCACTGCTGTCACCGCCATAGAGATCACTGCCCCAAGTTACGACGGAGCAATCTGCCAGGATCGCAGCAAAGGCCCGCTCGGTTGCTTGAATCTGCTGCACATTCTTCAGCTCATGTTGCACGGCACTGGTGCTACCACCAGCACCAACATCGCCCCAGGTCACGACAGAGCGGATCGCAGCATCGTTTCAGCTGATCCCCAGGCTTGAATGTGCTGCACATGTTTCAGCTGATCTCGGACGCCACTGCTGTCACCTCCGTAGCCAGCAAAGCCCCAGGTGACGACGGAGCCATCACCAAGGATCGCAGCAAAGGCATAATCAGTTGCTTGAATGTGCTGCACATGTTTCAGCTGATCTCGGACGCCACTGCTGTCACCTCCGTAGCCAGCAAAGCCCCAGGTGACGACGGAGCCATCACCAAGGATCGCAGCAAAGGCCCCATTGGTTGCTTGTATCTGCTGCACATTCTGCAGCTGATCTTGCACAGCACTGCTGTTACCACCGGAGCCATGATGGCCCCAGGTCACAACGGAGCCATCCCCAAGGATCGCAGCGAACGCAAACGGCATCGCTTGAATCTGCTGCACATTCTTCAGCTGATCTCGCACAGCACTGCTGTTACCACCGAAGCCATGATGGCCCCAGGTCACAACGGAGCCATCCCCAAGGATCGCAGCAAAGGCCCGCGCCGTTGCGTGAATCTGCTGAACATTCTTCAGCTGATCTCGCACAGCACTGCTGTCACCACCGCAGCTACCATCGCCCCAGGTCACAACGGAGCCATCACTGAGGATCGCAGCAAAGGCCCGCTCGGTTGCATGAATCTGCTGCACATTCTTCAGCTCATGTCGCACAGCGCTGCTGTCACCACCGCGGTCACGATAGCCCCAGGTCACCACGGAGCCATCCCCAAGGATCGCAGCGAACGCATACGACGGCGCTTGAATCTGCTGAACATTCTTCAGCTGATCTCGCACAGCACTGCTGTCACCGCCATAGAGATCACTGCCCCAAGTTACGACGGAGCCATCTGCCAGGATCGCAGCAAAGGCCCGCTCGGTTGCTTGAATCTGCTGCACATTCTTCAGCTCATGTTGCACGGCACTGGTGCTACCACCGGCACCAACATCGCCCCAGGTCACGACCGAGCCATCCCCCCTGATCGCAGCAAAGACCAGGCGTGTGCCCCAAAGATCGACCCTTCGGACCTGCAATGTGAACGGCTCCACATACAGCAGCCTGGCCTTCTTGAGCTGCACTCCTCCATCAAGAACCCTTCCAGTGGAGTCCAAGAGTCGACCTCTGCCAGCTCCCAGGGCCTCTGTGCACGCGCCCTCAGCGATTCCACGGATTCGTCCAGGTCAGCGACACAATGAAGACGTCAGCTTCGGTTCAGCTTATCGTCAACATGCCGAATATGCAATGTTCTCATGAATATCTTTCTCTTTCCTTGGTTATCAGGTGTCTTCTTCTATCTTTTCCTTCCATGAGCCTGTTTGTCTACTTAGCTGACATTCTATCTTTCTGTCTCTTTCTGTCTCTCTCTCTCTCTCTCTCGTTCTTCCCTTTCTCTCTTTCTCTCGACACAACAGCTAACAACTTGTGAGAACTGATAAGCCGATTTGAGGCGCCGAGTGTACAGCACGGCAAGAATGGCTACGGCTTGTTCGTTCTGCACCTCGCCTCTCCTGCAACCCAACTTAAGGGCTCAGGGGACGAAGAAAAAAGGAACCCCTAAACCTCAAGCCTAAACCCTCGAACCTCAAGCGCCTAAAACCCTAAACCCCTAAACCACAAACCCCTAAACCCTAAACTAGGTTATAGTTTCGGCGCCCTTCAAAGTATTTATGAATAGGTACCTCTATAGGAACCATAAGGGAAATTAAAAGGTTTCCCAAAGTGCCACCTGGTAATGGAGGAAGCTGCATCCACGCTCTGTTGACGAAGTGAACCCTAAACCCTGCACGAAACCCTCTACACCGCTACCTTCTGCGAAGTGACAGAAGACCTCCCCTGCATGGAGCCTCCTCTGCTCCCGCATCGAAGACTCCGCGAGACGGGCAGCTGCGGCCAAGCGCTCCTACCCAGAGACTCCAATATCTCATCAATAAGGAATAAGCCTTAAACTATAGTAGGAATCCTACTATAGCTTAAGGTATATTCGTGACGAAGGACGCAAAGGACCCAAGACTTGTGGGTCTGGGGATAAGGGATTGCATTTGGGACCCTAAACCCTAAACCCTACCTAAAGGCTCATGGGACTTAGTAAGTGAGCTTATAAGTAGGTTATAATGATAACCCCACTTAGGGGACTTATAACCCCAATTATAACCTACTTACTAAGTCCCATGATCCTCTTAAGTAGGAGCACATGGAGCTCCCTTAGGGTTCCACTTACCGTCCTGATTGCGGGTGTCAAGTACTTGTCCAGGCGGCTGCTTATGCAGAGAACCACGGCTTCGAGTTTAGGGTTTCGGATTCAGGGGTTCAGGGTTCAGGGTTCAGGGTTTAGGGTTTAGGGTTTAGGGTTTAGGGTCTAGGGTTTAGGGTTTAGGGTTTAGGGGTTTCGGGTTTAGGATTTAGGGTTGACTAGAGCAGGGCTAGAGCACAAGAGCACTGCTCCGAGCCGGATTCGGACTTTGCAAGTTCCCGGGACTTCAGGAGGTAATATAGGGGTCTCAATAAATACCTATACTCTTTTGCTATATATTCTTCGCTTAATGGGCCCCAAAACCCTATGCTAATAATTAAGGCCCCGATATTATGGTGCGAGGACAGAGAGACGAGAGGTGTCGCAGTAGGAGCAACATCCATTGAATGAGTTGGTTGAAAAGCTTACCTTTGGTTAGTAGGGAATGGAAGAATGGTAGCAATAGTAGTTATAATTGTACCATTCCCTACTGACCAAAGGTAAGAAAGGTGAAGACAGGCGAAGGCTTGTTGTGTTTGAAAGATGCTCAGATGCGAAGCAGCATGTGCAGGTCTGTCTTGCCAACAGATGCCGCGGAGTAGGTCAAAGCGATGACCAGCAACAAAGGCCAAAAACAACTCTCGACAGCGACAGCCTGGCTTGAACATGTGTCGACCATTCTTGTTCCGAACACGCCTTCTCCTCAGGAAACGCCCACATGCCCAGACAGCTGTGTGCAATCATCAGGGGCCTCAGGAAGATAGGCAGATTGACGGATCCCGTACATGACTCCTATTTGTGATTCCCCCACCCTACTTTCATCCCACCTTTAAGCATTTGGAGCCCTAAACCCCCAAACCCTAAACCCCTTTGAAGTCAGCGTCCTCCTTCTCTTCAGCCGCGAGGCGCCCCTTCCTTCTTGTGGCCTCAACAACCTGCAGCCGCGAGGAAATCTCGGTACCGAGGGTGCCGCAAAACCGAACCCTCAAAGCTAGAGCCGACTCATTCTTGACATCTACAGGGGTTTCCGCAAGGGTTAGTATAAGGTTTCGAAGAGGCTACAAGCATTCGACCATGAAAAATATGAGACAAGAGGCCTGCAACACATTCAATTAACCCCTAAACCCTGAACCGTTATGAACCCTTGAAGAAACCGAAGGAACCTTAAACCCTAAACCCTAAACCCAAAACCCTAAACCCTAAACCCTAAACCTTTACACGCAGCAAGCTGGAGGCCGGGGTTCAAAGGAACCTTGAGCTGAAAAGCGCGAAGAAAAGGGCTTGGATGGTTGAAACAAAAGGCCTTAGCAAGAATCGGGCTTTAGGGGTATATTAACATATAACTCTATTGAGGAACCCTGAGGAATAGTGTTGCAATTGGGTTTAGTAGACTTAGAGCTGAGGGCAAAAAGCGGTGCATGCTGCCACGGCGCTGGGTGTCGACTCTATTCCATTACAGCCGTTGTCAGGGTATACTCGCCCATTCCCGAATTCATCAGACACTCCAAGAAATCTGGGCGACCCCCCTGGCCCGCCTGGCCCTGGCACCTTGGCCTGCCCTGCTCCCCTCCTGCTGCCCTGCTGCCCTGCCTTTCTGTCCTGCCTGACCCCTTCCCTGTCTGCTCAGTGTGGGATTTAAGTGCGTAAGCCCTAAACCCCAACAGGAAATAGTTTGGGTGGCTGCCTGTGGTATCATCACAGCGGGCGGGTTGAAGAGAACTTCCGGTTTCATCCGGTTCTATGACACATGCAGGAATGGAAGGTCGCTTGACGCGTAACATGCCGCCACCCACAAACCCTGGTGTGAAGTGGCACCATCCTAGAATGGATTACCAGCCACTGCGCAAGAAGACACCCCAAACCCTAAAACCCTAAACCCTAAACCCCTACCCCAAACCACCTGAGACTCAAGATCATGCGGGAGTTTGCCCATGAGCCGTACGTCCAACCCTGCGCTTCATAGCTCCAAGGCGCCCAGCCGTCGAGCCGGCGCGCCTTTCATCACAAGGACCCTTGGGTTTAGAGTAAAGTTTAGGATTTAGAATTTACGGTTTAGGGTGGGGGCCGTAGCAGCCCTAATATGGACTTGATAAAGCTCTAATAAGGCCTGGTTGAGTTCACAAGGACCCTTTTTTCTAAAGCCCCCTTTTCGTGTCTGCAGAAAGCGTAACGAAAGCCTACGGAAGGCGGGCA